ATATTATTTTGCATGTATGGTCCTCGTACCGAATGTAACGAAGTCTACTAGTCATCCCAGAATAATACAAAATACGAATAAACTGGTAAACTTATTAAATACCTATTCTTATGTAAATAAACATTTTAATAGAAGATTTGTTTTATGTGTTTGGTTGTTAGCTATAATGTGATATGTTTGGCTTGTAAATATAGAACATCTTGTTTCTATCTGAACACTTCTCATGCAACTAGAAAACGAAGGTGTGCAGTACAGTAAAGTTGTAAATATTATCCGTACCATAATCAGTGGCCGTAAGTTTTAATTTGTTCACGAAAAAAAAGTACTAGTAATATTCGACCTGTCTTGTGAGTGTTTCACCTTAACATACATAAATAACTTTACAATGACAAACGCAATAAAAACATAAAGACACAGTTTGATATTTTATAAGGAAATATTTCAAACCTTAAAACGTCAACTAAAAAATAAGAACAACGGAGTTATCCCTTAAACTAACATGCCAAGATTAATACTGGCTGTTAAAGTTACGATCCACACACAGAAACAGAGTTATCTTTAAAGTTAAGATAGTTGTATTTGATCGAAACAAATCGATTGAGCTTTTAAGAGTAACATTGTCTTGTTTCATAAACAACATGTCCGTGATTATTTCATCCATATAGATGGCAAATCGTGACACAACTTTATGGTATAACATAATTCAGTAACACTTGTCACCATTCTATCCAAGCTACGTCGTTAGACTATCGGAAAAAAAATAAAATTTTATTTTGCTAGTTGGTTGAACGAAAGCTGTGCTATGTCGGTTTATAATGAACGAATAGCATCACTGCTATTGTAAGTAGACTAAGTAAATAAACTCATAAAACATTATGTCGGTAGAAAGACACAATATATAACGTAGCTTCTGGTACAGCAAATCTGACGGTTGAATATGCAAGCTCTTAAACTGCTTTTTTTTTTATTCAGTCTAATTAGCATTAAGGTAAAGTTGTACAGTAGGAATGTTTTACATGCTATTAATTTTCAGGATTATATTATTACACTATTTGGTGACAAAACATTTTGTCTTACAAAGTGTGAATGATTGTGAAAATATAAATCAGACATTGCTATGGGATACATGATTCAGATGTGTTTCCAAGTAAACATGTTTAAGACAGTCTGAATTAGGCAGTACAACCACATTAGTTTTTAAGACAGTTTGAATTAGGCAGTACAAACACATTAGTTTTTAAGACAGTTTGAATTAGGTAGTACAACCACATTAGTTTTTAAGCCAGTCTGAATTAGGCAGTACAACCACGTTAGTTTTTAAGACAGTTTGAATTAGGTAGTACAACCACATTAGTTTTTAACCCAGTTTGAATTAGGCAGTACAACCACATTAGTTTTTAAGACAGTTTGAATTAGGTAGTACAACCACATTAGTTTTTAAGCCAGTTTGAATTAGGTAGTACAACCACATTAGTTTTTAAGCCAGTTTGAATTAG